ACCTAATGCTTTATCGCACAGAACACGAGCTAAGTAGGGTATGGTTGAGTTTTTGTGCTTACTAGTGCGAGCATATAGTTTTCTATATAGGCTTATGGTTTTTCCTGATGAGATTCAAGGGAAGAGTTGTGAATGAAGGGGTGGTGTGACTTAGATAAACTGGATTTAGCCCATTTTTCACATGAGTCCAAGTGCCTGTCAACCAGAATATTAACAAGCTGGTTAAGTGGCACGTAGCTTACCCTGCTGACAACCCTTAACATCCTGCGTAATAAGGTATAGTCTTTCTTCAGTAACCCTGGAAAAACTAAGGGGGAACAATAGAGAATAATAGACAGAATACGGGAGTTAACGAGTAGTAGGAGTAAGGTTTGGGTTATTCCAAAATGTCTTAACTTCTTGGTGTAGAAGGTAAGACGGAATATTTTCTTAGAAATCATCAAGATATGAGACGACCAGGAAAGGTTGGCAGATAGAATTATGCCAAGATATTTAATTTCCGACTTCCTTTCTATTTCAGTGCCATCTATGTTGCACATCTCTTGAGTGCTAAGCAGTTTGTTTAGGTCAGACTTGTTCCTAAAGGTGAAATTGACTGTTTGGCATTTGGAGGGATTTAAGGTGAGACCGTTTTCCTTGGACCACTGGCTGATTTTTGATAAAAAACCATTTAGTTTGGAACAGTCGCTTTGACATTTGACAAGCAAAGATACAGCCAGGTCGTCAGCATATTTAACAAAGTTAATGTCATTTGAAGATGGTAGGTCATGTAGATAGAAAGAAAGAGAAGTGGGGAGAGTACAGCACCTTGGGGGACACCAACTTCAGTGGGCACAGCAGAGGAGGATTCGCCTTTGTATACGGTGTACTGCATTCTGTTAGAGAAGTAGGAATGCAATCAGTTTATGACCCAGGACTCAGTATGTGTCATGGAGAGCTTATTTAGCAAGAGGCATCAAGTGACATCACTAGACAAGCCCTCGAGTGGAAGACGAAAGGGAGGCGGCGAGTTGGTCGTCCAAGGGTGACTTGGAGGAGGTCATGCGAGAAAGAGATGAAAGCATGTGGACAGACCTGGAGCGGGGTGAAAAAGTTGTCAGAAAACCGAAGGCAATGGAGGTGCGCAGCTGAAGCCCTATGTTCCTCTAGGAACTAAAGGATACAATAATAATAATAATATAATAATCTAGGTACAGAGTCGAAAGCAGAAGTGAAGTCGAGGAACGTGCACCTAACGTATTTGGCACCTTTATCTAATGATGAGACTATACTGTTGTGCAAGACGCCTGCATCATCTAACATGCTCCTGCCCTGTCTATATGCAAATTGTTTGGGGTCTTCAGAGCTTTTAAGAGAGAGTTCAAGTTTAAGATGTACTAGTTTTTCCATAGGCTTTAGAAACGTTCTTGCTATTGCCAGGTTTAGGGACAGGGACTATTTTAATATCTTTCCGTGGAACAGGTACAACGTTTTTAGAGAAAGAAGCATTTAAGATGTTAGTTAGTGGAGAACATAAAGCATCTGCACATTGTTTTGGAACATAGGCAGGTATACCATCAGAGCCAAGACTACATGAGGGCTTAAGAGTTTTAAGACATTTTAGAACGTCAAGAGTATTAAAGTCATAAAAGCTATGATGAGCTACATGATTAATAACGTTAGAGGTAGTTATAGGAGAAGTAGAGCGTATAAAAGACTCATTAAGAGCGTTAACATCATAAGAGGGAAAAACACTACATCGCTTACTGTTACCAGTAATTTCATTGAAAAGTTTCCACATGTTGATTGGAGATTTGCATGATAAAAGTGTATGGCTATACATAGCATTAAGATTTTCGATTTGATTAGAGCATTAATCTTTTTGAGTCCTAACTTATGTTTGGATTTATATAATGCTTCCTTTTACCTGCGTAGTTGTTTGAGACGAGAAGCGATCGAAGCGTTTGAATAGTGTTTGTTTGGGACAGCATATATATCGAGGCAGAACCTAAGATAATCTGTTATATTGGCGATTGTGTCATCTAATATACTTTCATTAAATAAATCCCAGTTAGTATTTTTTAACATGGACCTGATATTGAGTAAGTTGTCAGATGTGTAACATCTTTGTTGTGCTTTCATAGACAGATGTGAGAAGACTTTAATATGCATTTTTCTGTATATTTTTGGTAAAACGTGAACAATACAGTGATCAGAGTTAAGTTTCGGTGCACGTTTACGTGTTTCATACATATCTTCGTCGTTTGTGAAAACTAAATTGAGTGTTTTGTCAATTTGAGTGGGAAATTTGACTATGTTTGTATGACCAAGTGCTTCAATGAAGGGGAATCTGAGGAGTTGAAATCCCCAGTAATAACAGATAGAAAGTTGTCGGAGTTGGCAGCGGCACACCTGGTGAATTCGTCAGCAAAATTAGATATATCAGATGGTGAGCAACTAGGAGAAATGTACATGTTTGTAACAAAGATGTGTTTATATTTGGGGAGATGTTTGGGACGACATTTGACAATAATACAGTCTATGAAGTCATTTGAGAATGAGAAGCAGACATTATTTGAAACAGACCATTTGGAGTGAATAAAAGTTGCAACTCCACCACCATTTTTCTTATTACAACAGTGACGATCTTGTCTAAATAAATATGAAGTCCTTTAGTGAGTTAAGATTATCATCATACAGTTCGTGTAACCACGTTTCTTGTAATGTGATTATTACGTTTGAGAGCTCTCTGCCAACCACTCCGATGTTTCCTCCTTGATTTCTTTGGAATATGAAAGTTATTTGGTCGTAGATGATTAATAAAGTTACGAGAGTAAATGATCCTGTTAGAATTCATATTTAGGTGATAAATAAATGTGTGTAAACGATAGAATGGATGCCATATGTGGATATTATAATAGCTGGCCCGAAATTCGAACAGGCCGCCAGGTTCACGCCAAAGAGAAGTAGTTTATTTCTTAAAAATATTACCTATATAGTTCTCGTCTGTATATTCACAAATTTTGTCTTTCATTGCTTAAGCTTATTATTAATTATTGTTATTCCTTATATCACACTTTATAGTTGGGATAAGGTGGAAGAGCTAAAGTTTTATAGATAGAATGAAAGAGAACCTGATTATTCTTGTAAACTTGTTCTATACCAAATCTTTTTTCTGGTATATTATTATATTTCTTTTTCACGTTTCAACTAGTCTGTATGTATGTTATAATACTACACAGAATTTCATCACTTTTTGTCATCATCTTGTCAGTAGATATACAATACATGTATTATTGATGAAATTTATTAGATTCTGTTTGTACCATATCACTTCGCATGAAAAATTGAAAATGAAATACAACATTATACTGTGGTCTGTTTGAAAGCAATATGAAAGCTAGTTGTCATCGTATGATTTGAACTCTAGTTGCCAACTGATTTATAAAGCTCAATTGCTGTTCACTACAATCATCAAGGTTATCCCAGATGGTCTCTTCATCAAAAAGTTATGGTTAATGTCTTGAATACTTTTCAAACAAAATTTCAGAATTATTTATTTATGTGTTAGTATTACCCTCCACCCCCCTCTTCACACAGAGGGAGAGAGACATACTTAACTGTTAACGCGCTGGGTCACTTAACAGTCTGCTCAGTTTATGCTCAATCTGTCTCCTATTTCTTGACTGACTGGTTTCAACAGTGAACTTTACACAGAAGTGCAGCAGTTCAAGTTGCCACACTCCATGTGTCACACAAAGTAAGACAAAAGGGAGATAGAAGAGTGTCGAAAGAACGATAACAAGCAGTAATGCTACTAGCATGGCGAAACAGTAGGATTTAGTGGATATGACACGTCACAATGATTAAATGCTTCTGTACCGTTGACATCGATTTTGATCCATATCACCAATTCTCTCCAGCCACTGGTTCTCACCGTTCCAAGGACGCCAACTAAGCAGTCTACACTTCCCTATGTGACTCGAACTAACTGTAGCTCCACAACTTCCTCGTCTGACTTTGCCTGCTTATCTAACGCCACGTCTAACCTCAATAATACTCATCCTAGTATACAACCCAACATGGGAGATAGGATGCAAACATTTGTGGTCAAAGACAGCTAGCCAATCTGTTCATGTCCTCCACTTTCAATGGCCATGTCTCACAGCCAGTCATGAAGGAGGGAGTAGCGAGCTGATTAGCTGTACCCATATCCCTTGATCGATAGACAACCGGATATCCTGTCTACATCAGAGATGCCAGAGGTCGGGAAATGCTATACAAGCCTTTTGTATATGTGATGAGATTTCGTTAGCAATTAAGCTCCTGGAGCTGATGCAACTTATCAAAGAAGTTAATTGCTCAACACGTCCAACCGCTTCACTCGCTTCCTATCCTTGATCTAGGAGTCGATTTAGTCCAGTCCTGTAGCATCATATTCCATTTAACAGGAAATATTCGCATGCAAAATATTTGAACATGGCTGCTCAAGGTGTTCAGAAGACTGCATTTTATCAGTGTCTTTACCTAGAAGGACTATACCATTCACATATTCTGAGTGAACAAGATAATTTCCCGGTAAAACTTATTCGCTGAATTCAGTTAAGGCTAATTCCAGTATTACATCTATGATAAAATGAAGAAGAAATAGGGATATTTAGTACCACTGGTTGTCATTCCTTCAAATTACAACTCTTCATGTGCTCTTATACGGCTTCGTGAGTTAGAGTAGAGAATTTTGATCAGTGCAATGTACTTTCTTAGCACTCCCTTCACTATTAAACATTGCTACAACATCTCTCAGTGGAAGCAGTCGAATTCCGCCTTTAGGTGAGGAAATATGGCAAGTGTTGGACGCCGGTAAGCATGCTATGATAGGTAATTACTTTTCCATCGCCACAGTTCCTTGTAACCTAGCTTTTCTGGTCATCACTCTTTTTGATATGCACGCCTTTTTTTTAGTTCAATGAATGGATATATCTTTATTAGCTGTATTATTATTATCATTACTATTTACCCAGCTCCTACACCACGTGAAGCATCAGTTGGTGTATCAGATACAGATGGAACAAAAGAAAATCAAGATCCGGGTAAAAATAAAACCAAGGCAACTGATTCCGAGAATGCCTTATTCTTAGATGTTGGTTCACTTGCTCCACGTAATTCATATTGTGCTTTATGCGATACACATGACTACTTGCATCAAATTGAACTACCAGCCTATTTAATCTCTCCGTGTTATCATTGTCGTGAATATCTTGCACGTGAAGCTAAGATTACTCCTGAAATCCTCTTAGATTTACATTTACAGGTAATGCTATTGTTATCTTTGAAATTTTTATTACTTTACGAGCGTCAACTAGTCAAAAAAAGGGTTAAATTAAACTATATCCCCGTGATTGATTGCTGGTTAGTTGCAATTAAAAATTGAAGAGTAATAACTAGAAGGAAATAGTAGGACTAATGATAATAGGGCAATTATTATTGAAATCCAAATCTTTTTGGTGATTGAAATAAGGCGTATGAAAAACAAACCAAAAAAATACTGACTTGAGCCCTATATTGGGGCTCATCAATTTGGATGTACCTGCAATCTTCATTGTGTGGTGGTGGTGGTATTACCACTAATACTCAAAGATAACATCCATTGTTTCAAACGTTAAAGCATTCTACACTCCTCTGCTAGTCTCCTCAGAAATCACCGAAGCGTCCGCACTAGGAGTTGACATGTCAACGGATATCGAACACTTCGGTCCAATATAAATCAATCAGCGAAAACTACAAAATTGATTTAGGCGAAAAAATATTGATATGCCTAAAACTTATCAAGTATTTTTCAATATTCCTAGTTACTTTTGTCGATAAATTTGCTTCGTATCATACTAACTTACTTGCAAACTTTCAAGCTACTCTTGACTGTTGTCATCTAGAAAGGAAATAATACTTTAGTGTGGATAGTGTGTTACCCTGACGCCCCAACCTTCTCCCTTTTCTGTCATCGCGACTAGCTATTTTGACTAACTGTGTTTCAATGTAGAAGTTTGTGCAGATGTGTACCGCAGTTCAAGTTGCTACACTCCATAGGAAAAAATTCAAGAGGACAGTAATGTACGCAGAAATGTTCGGGAGACTTAACGGACATGGGAGATTACATTTGAACCATTAAGAAAAATTTTGAATCATAATATCACCACTTGTTTAAAGCTATTGGCTCTTTGCGTCTCAACGACTCCAACCAGGCAGTTTACAACACCTTACATGGGTCAGATCAGCTGTCTGTGGAAAGGCTGGAGACGTCATAGATTTATTCCGACAGGTTCCTATGTCACCTGACATTGTTCGACAAGAAAGTCGATGGTTGGTCAAACGTAACACATATTATCGTAGCTTCACAACTTCATCGATTGGCTCTCTACGCCTAACGCTCTATTACTGGCCATATATACTACTGAACAAGAGAGATACAATGCTAACATATATAGTCAAAGACAGTTAGCCCCTTTCATCTCTTCCACTTTCAACGACCACATCTCACAGTGATAAAGATGGATTGAGTGAAGTGATGAGCACTAGAAATATTCTTTGATGAATAGTCGCATATGACTTATACACCAGATATGATGTGAATTGGTCAATACAATATGATTCTCTTATTTACGTGCTGAGATTTCTACAGGAACCAGTGGATTACGGTTAATGCAACTCCCAAAAGAAGTGTAGTGATCAACAATCAACCACTTCACTCCGTATCTTTGATCCAGGAGTCTGCGGACATCAGAAGGAGAATGCCATCTGCATACTTTGAGTTGACGAAACTGTATCCTGGTAACAAGTTAATCCTAGAGTCGCTAAATTCGATTAGGGTCACATTTATTAGTACATGACGAAATAAGACAAAAACTGAGACATTCAGCATGCGTGACGGCCATCACCAGTTTTCTTTGTTTACGATAACTCTCTATAACCTCTTCCATATAACTTCATGAGTTTGAGCAGAATAATTGCACAACATACTACTCGGAACCCCTTCTACTGTCGAACATTGCCAATCACGCTGTCACTACTCAGTCAAGGAAACCAAGGTCAATAAATATATAAACCTTGTTCAACCTTTCGCAGTGTTTTTTATTGTCTAAATTCCCTGATTAATTTTTATACTCCTTTGTTGTTATTTTGCAGGTTTTGTTTATAATTCTTACAAACTATGCTGGTAAAAAAACCTAAATTAGCAGTTCAAAAATCACTTCTGATTTAACCCGTAGTTCTCAGTGTATATGCATCCCATAATTTACTGGCGACGATTACTTTTAAATCTTTTTGTTATGTAGCACAACATACCTTGGCCAGGATTTTTGCAAGCTAGACTTGGTATTCCTAGCGATGGAAGATCAACTGAAGAATTGATTGCTTATGATTGTCGATGGAGAAGTAGACAACCTTGTCGATGTTATGCTGCTCTAGATGGTTCATTATTACCACCTTGTGTTGAGTTCCCATGGTTAACTCCTACAGTCTGTGGATCTGCGTATGAAGTGAACGAAACTGTAATAACTCCAAAGAAGGTTAATAAACCATATACATCGAATTCTCCTCCAAGCTCAGAAGTCTCCCCATCGGTCAATATGGAATCACGCGTACCTGATTCTTCCCCAGTTACACGTGAGCTATTTGACTATCATATTTTTCTAATATAAATATAATCAACTAATTCGAAAGTATGTTGATTAACAAATGCTTTTTTTGTTATTGTAGAAGCACAATCTACTACAACAAATCAAACTATGACTACCTCTACTGCAACCTCGGTGAACGCAAGTATCTCATCAACGACAGGATGTCCTAATAATACTCCTTCTAAGTTATTATTGCCATGTTCTAACAGACATGCTCGTGGTGCTCCAATCACTTGCTGTCATGGTATCCACTTCCCCTTAGTTGGCATACCAAATACTTCAAATCAAGGTGTTAACCAAAACCAAGATACTAGTATTCCCTCATCTACTGACCTTAACGATTCCAAACAATGGACTGACACATGCCCAGCTGTTACACTTCACGAAACACAACAAGGACTATCAACAATCAATGATTCATCTTCTTAATATTATTTTATAAATAATACAGTCATCTTAATAATGTGATTCAAAAACTTGTGCAATATATAAACAATATATTTATGTATGTATGTATTTGCGTGGTCAGAATGTTTTTACCGAAATTTTAAATCCCAGTATGTATCAGTCATTATTATTATTATTAATAATATTAATATTATCTTTGTTATGATATATAACAACTATAATAATATAAGTAATTACTAATTTTATCACTAGTCCTCCTTCCCCCACTCCCTATATAATCCTGATCCTATTTGTTTTTATTCTTTGTGAAAGAAGAAAAAAGTTTTTAAGCATAGAAACTATCTTTTTCTTTTTTTTTGTTTTATTTTCTGGTTTTATATATTTCTCTCCCCTCCGGCAACACTTTTTTTATACATCATTTCTATCCACTTTTACTTTTGCTTGCTTTTCGCTCTAGTTTTATCCCTTGTTTTTTTTTATTGTTTGTATTTTACACATGCATGTTTTATTTTTTAAATGTATCTCAGAAATTTTTAAGCGTCTATTATTTTCCATTAAAAAAAGCGAATTAGTTTCATAATATAAATTAAAAGTTAAATTTTTGAAGATGCTTATAATGAAAAGAAAAGGCAATTTAAAGCCAGTGATTTTATGTGTATGTATGTGTGGATGTGTGTGTGTGTGTGTTTAGTGACATGTATGCGTTAAATAAACATTTTGAACTGAATCATTTCTTTGTAAACTAATAACAGGCACATTGTCAAATAAGATATACACATATATGTTAAAAATGCAAGATTAATTGTTCTTGAAACGAAATATAGATGATGCTCTTGATTTTCGATCTTTTCTTGTTGAATAATTCTGTGCAGATGATCCTTTGTGTAGTAGACTAGCATGACTCATAGTCAGGCACAATTCTGAATTACAGAAAAGAAACAACAGCAAAACGAGAAGATTAGTCAAGGACAGTCCGTTCCACTGGCGTATACATCAATTAAATGAAAAGCAGAAAACGCCTTGGTAAACTGTGAAAAACTAATTAGGAAGGGACAGCTTTGAATTTGAAGTTCCGAGCGTAGAGTTCGTGTGTTTTAGCCTTCGTCAGCGAAGCGTTTCTGTGAACTTGACCAATCGAATACTCTTTCAGTGATTCGAACGTTGGTCACCACCTAGTACTACGATCAAAACATTATTATTATTGTATCCTTTAGTTCCTAGAGGAACATAGGGCTTCAGCTGAGCACCTCCATTGCCTTCGGTTTTCTGACAACTTTTTCACCCTGTTCCAGGTCAGTCCACATGCTTTCATCTCTTTCTCGCATGACCTCCTCCAAGTCACCCTTGGACGACCAACTCGCCGCCTCCCTTTCGTCTTCCACTCGAGGGCTTGTCTAGTGATGTCACTTGATGGTTTCCTCAGCGAATGGCCAATCCATCTCCATTTCTTTCTGCCTATTTGTTTCACAATCGGTTTCTGATTGGTTCGCTCCCAGAGATCCCTGTTGCCGATATTTTCTGGCCAGCCATCTGATCTTGAGTATTGAGCGAAGACAACTGTTAACGAAGGTCTGAAGTTTGTTTGACATGCTCTTTATGACATGCCAAGTTTCTGATCCGTATAGTAGCATTGACTGACTTCACATTAGAGTTGAAGATCCGGATGTTATTTTTGATGCCGAGTGGTGTTGACCTCCACATAGACTTAAGAGTAATGAAAGCTTGCCTTGCTTTTCCGATTCTGGCTTTGATATCCTCGTCAGTTCCGCCTGTAGTTGAGACGATGCTTCCCAGGTAGGTGAAGGAGGTTGTTTATTTCAGGTTCTTCCCACGTATGCTGATTGTTGTCTGTTGTTGTTGTTGTTGATGTTGGCCAGGAATCTTCATCACCTCTGTTTTATCTATGCTCACCTGAAGTCCTATCTTTGATGCTTCTTCTGCCAACTTGTTGCTTTTCACTTGCATATCTTCCAGTTTGTGGGAAATCAGACATATATCATCGGCGAAATCCAGATCCTCCAAGTCTTTTGTGTCAGTCCATTTTATGCCTGTTCCCTCGTTGGTTGCCGTTGTCTGTCGCATTATCCAATCAATTGCAATCAAGAAGATCATTGGTGATAGTAGACAGCCTTGCCTCACTCCCGTCCTCACTTCGAAGGCTTCAGTAAGTTTCGCGTCGTGGATTACTTGGCATGTAGCATTGTCGTACGTATGTTGGATGAGATGTATAATTGTCGATCGCACCCCACAGTAGTAGCGAAGTAGTTGCCAAATGACCTCTCGATCAACGCTGCGCTGTCGAAGGCCTTTTCAAAGTCGATGAAGTTGAGATAGAGAGGTGACTTCCATTCCAAGCTTTGTTCAATGATGATCCGTAGTGTGGCTATTTGATCAACACATGACTTGCTTCTCGTGAATCCAGCTTGTTCCGGTCGACGTTTTTCATCTAGGGCTTGTTTGATTCTCTCCAGGATGATGCGACTTAGTATCTTGCGGAGAGTTGTTTGAGTTGTGGTGATTAGCTCCAGGTGGACTGGATTAGGCACTCTGTCGATTATTTATCACAATTACAGTTTGCTTGACTTTTAAATCCTTAGGATAAGCATACCCTATATGTTTGATGAATTATCTCAAGTTTGCCCCCCTAATTTGGTTTAGTAGACTTTGCAGTGTAATGACAATTAGAAGCATTAGGATGCAACTGTAATATGAACAATACAAAGTCCCAATCGTTCTCCACTGAAACAGCTCAGTTGTGTTATAATTTAAATTGCAGATTCTTAGTTACATGATACTAAGTAGTGCATACACCTGCAGATGCATCTACCGTCTGTTGTTGAATATCTGGATATTTTCAGTTATCTACAGGTAATAACTAACTACTTTACAGAGAAAAGAATAAAATGCTCAGCTCTAATGTTCTGTAGGGTATTTTTTACATGATTTGAAAAAAAATTATTTTCTTTTCTACCACGTTCATGTTAGATCGTTTTTGACTGACTGACCCGACTGGTTTCAACATAGAACTTTGCATCGATGTGCAGCAGTTCAAGTCGCCACACTCCATGTAGCACACAAAGCAAGAGAAGAAATGCATAATATAGACAGTAAACAGGGATATGAGACAAAAGGAATAGCAATAACGAAGAACAACATAGTTTTGTTGGGTATTATAAGTCACAGGGAGTGGATGCATCTGCGACAGCTACTGACAATGATTTTGAGCCATGTCACCGATTGTCTGCAGCCATTGGTTTTCACCGTCCCGAGGCTCCCAACCAAGAAGTCTATACCTTCCTATATGACTGGCTGGCTTAATCTAACTGTTGTGGATTTCACTGACTGGTGCCATGTTTTGGTTTGACTCCCACCACCACTAGCTCTTTTCCGGCCTGACTAATCCTATGTCAGCTAACATTGTCCGTCGAGGAAGGCGATGACTAGGCATACGTAACACATGTCCAAACCATCTCAATCGATGTAGCGTCACAGCCTCGTCTATTGATTTCCCCTCTTTACCTAGCACTCGATGCCTAACCTCAATATTGCTCACCCTATTATACCACTTGACACGGGAGATAGAGCGTAGGCACCTATGATTAAAGACAGCTAGCCAGGCTTTTCATGTGTTCCACTTTTAATGGTCAGGTCTCACAGCTATACAGGAGGACGGAGCGGACTGCTGAGCAGTACACACTCCCTTTAGCCGATACCCAGCCAGAGACGGTGTAAACTGGCATATGCGAACCGAGCCTTCTGTATTCGAGCTGAGATTTCTTCAGTGACCGACACGTTGTGACTGATACAACTTCCCAAATAAGTGAACTGATCCATGCTCTCTATCACTTAACTCCCTATTTCTAAGCTAGGAGTCAATGCAGACCAGTTCTGTAGCATCATCTTACATTCGGTGGGAGCGAATCGCATGCCAAACATTCGCAGATTACAGCTCAAGATGCTCAGAAGACTCTGTCTTTTTTCAGCGTCTTCACCTGGCAAGGAGGACTATATCGTCTGTATATTCTAAATCAGCGAGATTATTCCCTGGCGGTAACAAGTCAATCCCTGGTGAAATCCTGTAACAAATATAACGATTGTTGGACGCCTGTAAGTATGCCTATGTTCCAGAATGTGTCGAAGGGTGAAGATATGATTGATACACCCTCTTCCTGGTCTAAAGCCTGCCTGGCTCTCTCCTGTTTGTGCCTCCCGAGCACCACTTAGTCTACGCATGATTACTGAGCTTAGGACTTTAGATACTATATTAGTCAAGCTAATTCCTCTGTGATTATCACAGGAAGACTTGTCTTCCTTCTTGTATATCGGGATAATCAATGACTTACACCGACCCGACGGAACTTTCTCTGATTCCCAGATGCTGCCTAATACCCTAGTTAACGCAGACAGTAAACTGTCTCTGCTATCCTTAAACACCTCTGATGTCATTCTATCGGTTCCCACAGCTTTGCTTCGTTTCGGACTAGTGACAGCCTTTGTAACCTCAGTTAGGGACGCTGGACCTGTGTTTATATCCCATTCAGGGAGGTGTTGGGTGTTCGGTAGGTTGAACGTGGCTGTAGGCCAATTAAACTGCTCCTCAAAAGTGTTCTTTCCAACGTTGCAGCCGTCTATCCTGGGGGCTATTTATGTTTGTTCGCTAACTGAAATTGCAGAAACTTGATCCGAAACATTCTGTGCAGTTATTGTTTTTGCATCAACCTACTTCAGTTAAAATTTAACTATCCTACATAAACCAAAGCTATGAACCAAACTAATTGTATCAGGGCCGATGATGCCATGCAGGTTGGACAGTGATTTTGATTCAGGAACCGTTGGATGGAGTTCAAATATCAAAAATACTAGTGTAGGATTATCTTTAAAAAAAAGAAGTTAAGTACCTTCAGTTTATACGTGCATACTCTATGCGTGTAAAACTTGATCTTTCTTCACCGAGGAAATCGGACAAGTGTTAATATATTTTAGAAACTGGTAAAGATTCCACCTAATTTTTTTTTATTATGCAGATAAGATTGCTGACACAGTATCATTTTGTGGATGATATTTTCTAACAAAATTCATTGTTCACAATTACATAAAACGTATTACCGGATAATATTGAAGCCTGACTTTTATATTTCCTGTTCTTCTGTTCTATCTGTCCTAACCGTTTAAGCTTTCTTCAACAAATCAACTGAGAATATATATGTATACACAACAAAAATGATTCGTTGTCGGCTCAGATAATGTGAATAGTTGGAAGAGGAGAACTGGCAAATGCATGAATCAAGTTGCAAAGTCACAGGGTTACATTTTCTTATGTGATTATGAACAATAAATTTTACTTGAAAGAACGTCCCTCAGAAAATGATACTGTTTTAATTAGGCTATTTCTGCATGATAGAAGAAACCAACATTAAGTTACATACTATCGCTGTGCAAGTTTTACAAATTCTATATTAAGAATTTAAAAAAAATAATTTTAAAAACAGACACTCACTTTTAAATTTATTTTCCAGAGATTTTCGGGTTGATGACCTACCTCTGACCCTAGAATGCAGAAGAAAACAAAATACATGCAGAAATAGTATTTTCGAGTAACCGAATAAATTACCAAAGACATGCAGGTTAGGTGCAGAACATTCTAAACAGCAGAGGCGAGTTCACTTCGCTTAAAACAACCCAGAGCTCAGTGTGCTAAAGAAACGGCTCCAGGTACTATTAGGCTACTCTGGCCTGCTATATTATTATTATTATTATTATTGTATCCTTTAGTTCCTAGGGGAACATAGGGCTTCAGCTGCGCACCTCCATTGCCTTCGGTTTTCTGACAACTTTTTCACCCTGCTCCAGGTATGTCCACATGCTTTCATCTTCTCCTCGCATGACCTCCTGCTATAGAATCTATAAATTCACAAATTTTCGATTATTTTTATTTTCAATTACAGCTTGATTCCACACTGTATTTTTGGTACAAGTATGGAATTTTCAGCATGTGATATCAATAGCCCGAATTTCGCAGACCGATCATTGAAATCAGATGTGCGTTGGCCGGCGATCGAACCCCAGACCATGTGCATGGTCGGTGAGAGTCCTAACCGCTGTACCACCGACGATATTCAATCTGTTTAGTGTTATATTGGTGTGTATTGTTACTTAGAGATACTTTTGAACTGTTGGCTTTGACGACTGGATATTCCTAAAAACACTAATGGTCTTAACAACAATAATTCTTTTCATTATCATAGGTGAATATAACTAAAGAACCTGATGAAGGAGCAGGTTTCTCGTGTGGCGTGTGCTACTGATAAGTATTTAAAGAGACGTGCATCGGCATAAAAATAATAAAATAGCAGGAAGATAGATTTAATGTCAGAGAAAGCAAATTATACGGCGTTGCAGATATAAATGGGAGATGTGAAAGGAACACAATATGAAGGAGGAGCAGAAGTAGCACAACACAGAAGATTTGTGCAAATGGTGCGTTGAAGATGAAGAAGTGTACATAATCTGGCTACATAAAGAGATTCCAAATAAACATTCCTTTGCCTAGTCTCTTGTCTTCTACCGCTACAATTGGAAAAAAATATTCTTTGTTCATTAGCCTTCTACACATTTTCAGTGAGTATCTTTAATCAACATCAAACAATGTCGAATTAAAGGAAGGTAAAAAAAGATTACTTTGTGTAGACACATTCTAGAATATGAACAACTATGTATACATTTGGTCATGATATTCAAATTAAGTCTCTATGAATATTATATATATTTATAGCAAACAGTAAATAGAAATGATAATTCTTAAAGATAAGAGCTTTGAGTTTAGAAATATTAATCAATGTGGTTGGTGTTATGTTCTTTCATTTTCTTCTCTAGTAACCATTATATCACGTCTCGTTAAAATTGTGTTCACTTAATCAAATAGACTCAAAGGTGTAAATGACTGGTACAAATGTAGATTCATTCACTAAGGTGGTGTGTATTAATTTTAATAAATGTGAAGAGTGCGCTCAAAGTGAAATACTACAAGGTTCATGTGAAATACAATTAAAGCGTAGGTAAAAAATAACATAAAGTATCAAGCGAGAAAAACAAGTCGGTAGATGGCTAGGCCCTGTATACTACACATATACTGGAGTCAGTGTCTTCTTTAATGTGCAACTTTAACTAAGGTAGAATGATCTCAGAAGAGCGTTACCAATTATTATTATTATTATATCCTTTAATTCCTTGAGGAACATAGGGCTTCAGCTGCGCCTCTCCATTGCCTTCTGTTTTCTGCCAACTTTTTCACCCCGCTCCAAGTATCCCCACATGCTTTCATCTCCTCTTCACATGACCTCTTCCAAGTCACCCCACCCTGTCAATGACGACCAACTCGCCGCTTCCCTTTCGTCTTCCACTCGAGCAATGGCTTGTCTAGTTATGTCACTTGATGGTTTCCTCAGCGAATGGCCAATCCATCTCCATTTCTTCGTGCCTATTTGTTTCACAATCGGTTCCTAGGGTTGGTTTGCTCATTGCCAGAGATCCCTGTTGCTGATCTTTTCTGGCCAGCCATCTGATCTTGAGTATTGAGTGAAGGACAACTGTTAACGAAGGTCTGAAGTTTGTTTGACATGCTCTTTATGACATGCCAAGTCTCTGATCCGTATAGTAGCACTGACTGACTTCACATTAGAGTTGAAGATCCGGATGTTATTTTTGATGCCGAGTGGTGTTGACCTCCACATAGACTTAAGAGTAATGAAAGCTTGCCTTGCTTCTCCGATTCTGGCTATGATATCCTCGTCAGTTCCGTTCGCCTGTAGTTGAAACGATGGTTCTCATGTTGGTAGGTGAAGGAGGTTGTTTCTTTCAGGTTCCTCCCATTTATGATGATTGTCATCTGCTGTTGCTGCTGTTTGACCAGGAATCTTCATCACCTCTGTTTTATCTATGTTCACCTGAAGTCCTATCTTTGATGCTTCTTCTGCCAGCTTGTTACTTTTCAAAACCGTTAAACTTTTCAATACTGCTTTGACTTACGCAAAATGTTGTACAAAAATAGAACTGTGGTAGAGTATAACTCCATCACAGAGTAAATTTATTTGATAAAATCAGACATACACAGAAATTATTTACTGATGATGTTTGCAACCAGTAGATAAGGGTAGTCAGATTGTCAGAGCATAAGAGGTGCAGTTAAGTGTAGAATGACTCGCCCTATAATGATGAATAATTTGGAAAGAAAAACCCAGCGATTGCAATGCATACATGAATATAAAAGCATAAAATAGGTTAGGGGTAGAGTTACAATTCTAAAAAGTAATATTGATAAGTGGAACGAGAAGTTGACTATTGAATCAACTTTGTTCATTGAATCTACGCCTAACACATGCAACAAGAATGGACTTAACACTAATACCAAGGATATGGAAGATACCGCTACTAATAAAATCAAAGGATATGAAATAATGGAATTATAAAAATGAAGCTTGGAAGTTATGTAAGCACCCTGATACGATTATAAGCAATAAATTGTTCTCGAAATACCATCAGGAAATAAATAATGCTGTATCGGTGTGTGTGTGTGTGTTATATCACATAAATTTACTCCATAAGATGCTGTCAGTTACCTAACTAACATAATAAGAATAAATCGTTGAAGAATGCTGATAAAACATTTCATATTTATTTATATTCTGCTTCTTACTTATCCCAATGAAATTTGATATATTGGACAGATTCGATTCTTATCTTATAATTCTTAATAGTAGATGGTTGAAGACAATCGACTGGCAGCCTTGGATCTAGGTTTCGAGCTAGTTGGTACTCAACAGCCAGCAAAGCGTATCTGCAAACAAGAAGGAACTCATTTCCCTTCTGAGATTCGAACCGGCGTCACCCAGTGCTGCAGTCAGAGACGTTACCATTGAGCTATTCGGGCTCGCGTTTGTGTGTTGGATACTTTGATTGGTCACTAGTAAATAGTGTGATGTGTCTAGTCCTCTCTTTGCTACAGACTGAAAGGACATGAGTTCCTTCACAGTGGTTGGAGATACGCCTTGCTGACCGGTCAGTACCACCTAGCACGAAACATAGGTCCAAGGCTTCTTGCTGACTGCCTCCAGCCATCTAATATTACCAAATCAATGTGCACCGTGATGGTGAGCCAACTAGAATTTATTTATTTATTTAAACGCAGAAAAAACTTGGTACCATATGGCACCAAGAAAGATGCGCCACACAATAATAGTAAAACAACATCGATCAAAAGTAAAAAATATAACTATAGAACGGATAAAGAACTTCATCTGGAAAGAAAACAGTCATGCTTAACAAGTTCAAATAGTGTTCGTTAAGTATCATCGGGAACCGAAGAAAGAAGGAAATTCCAACACGTTCGCCATTGATTACGATTCTTGGCCATATCCGATAACGTTTCGAGCCATTGATTTGAGCTATCTTTCGGAGTCGTGACACACCAACCGATACTTATCTAGCACAAAAATCCTTCATCCCACGACGACACGCCATGGACTGACCACCCCTCCGCTTTCTCCATCCCGTCCCAGGGCTAGCGAACAGAGACCTGTACGGAAGCCTCTGGGATGACATTCGGAGTACATGTCCAAGCCACCGGAGCCGGTGTTTCCAGATGATAACACTCAACAAATGGTGATCTCCACTGTGTTCAAACACACGCCGCCGAACCTCAGAATTACTCACGCGATGATGCCATCGAAAACAAGCAATCCTGCGGAGACAGCGATGATCAAACACGCAGAGTCGCCGAACATCCTCAACTCGGAGAGGCCAGGTTTCACAGGCGTAGAGCAAAACAGCCCGCACCAAAGCATTGTATACCCGACCTTTGACAGCCAGGCTAACGTCGCGACGGCGCCAGAGGTGGCTCAAGTTGATGTATGCCACCCTAGCCTTCATTATACGGTTGGAAATCTCATCCGTCACCCCTCCGCCAGCACTCACACAACTACCCAGGTACACAAACTTATCAACAACTTCAAGCGGTTCACCCGCAACAGTGAGTGTAGGCACAGTCTCCTGCCAATCTTGTAACAGTACTTTGCACTTAGACGGCGCAAAGCACATACCATACTTACAGACACTGATCGCCAACTGATTAAGTGCGATTTGGGCAGCCTGCATGCTATCGCACAGTAAGACGATATCGTCTGCATACTCGAGGTCGAAAAGTCTATCTCCAGGTAGCAGACCTACATCACATTCACGCACATCCTTCAGAGCTGACTCCAGAATGTCATCGATGGCAAAGTTAAAGAGAAATGGAGAGATTGGGCAACCCTGTCTAACCCCACTGTTGGTTGGGAACAATGATGATAGTTGTTTGTATGCCCTCACTCTACCTGAGGTGTTTCTGTATAGGGCTTTCAAGATGTTAACAAATTTATCAGGTACACCTCTCTCTAACAGACAGTTCTAGAGCACAGTTCTGTCCAACGAATCGAAGGCAGCCCTAATATCAAGAAACACAACGATCGTTGGCCTGCAATACGTGTGGCGGTGTTCCAACAACTGACGAAGGGTGAACACATGATCAATGCATCCACGACCTGAACGAAACCCAGCCTGCTCTTCGCGAATCAATCTCTCAGGTATTTTGCACAGCTTGCGAAGCAAGACAGCAGCCAATATTTTAGACGCAACTGGTAGCAGACTGATACCCCTATGATTGTCACACGAATTACGTCGACCCTTTTTAAAGATGGGACGATAATGGATTCGTTCCACATTGATGGTACACTCTCTGTCTCCCATACCTTCCTGAACAACCCAGTTAGAGCTATTGTGGGACTCTCGCCACCATCTCTAAAAAGAGCCGAGGTAGATTGTCTGGGCCGGGTGCCTTATGGCGTTTCAATACTTGGAGTTCCTTACGGACCTCCACCTCGGTGGGTGGATCGGTACTAACCGACCAAGGAGCACTGGGGCTAATGACAGCAGATACTGAAGCTGGTGGCTAGCTAAACTGCTTCCCGAAGTGCTCTGCCCAGCGTTCCAGGCGTCTTTTCAAGCTGGTAATTGGTGTGCCATCTGCCTCACAGACTGTCTCGCTGACACCTTGTTTCTTGGTGCCGGTGGCTCGGATGAGTTGGAACAGCTTCCGACTATTGCCAGATGCAGCACCTGACTCCATCTCACACCCACGTTCTGACCGCCAGGCTTCACGGTGCTTACGTAAACACTATCTTATCTAGCGCGTGAGAGCCTTTCGCTTATTGTTGTATTTGCTGCCAGTCGGAATGGACCGGCGTTCATCCAGGAGTTGCAAGGAACTCGCAGAAACCCAGTGGTTGTTAGCGGAGCATTCTTTTGAGCCGCAAGAGGCTACACTCGCCTTTTGCATGGCACCTTGCAGATGAAGCCACAGGGTCCCCGGACAAGCTCAGGTGGTATATAATACTAGAAATTTCAGATGGAGAGGATAATCGAAGCACTTCACTGGTATCTTGAGTGCGGGTCTCCGAAATACAGCAAATATCGATAGCGAGGCTTTCCAACGTTCTCACCAACCCTTCCTGTTATCCGATTTGCATCAGTGTCCAAACATTGTAGGTGGCCAGCTTGAACGCCGCACACGGTTTCAGGATGTCTGTGTTAGATGTCACATTGGGGACAACCATTTTGAAGGCTACTGATTAACATCTCGAAACGACACAGATAAGCTGGGGATCCAGACAAAGGCGAAAGGCTGTTGAAGGTGAAGAAGTCAAGGTTAGCAAAGGTAAAATACAGGAGACTATGTATAAAAACTAAAGTAAGGTTGGAAAGACATAAGTTACTTGAGACATCATTATTGCTGGAAAGCATTGTTACGAGCGCGCGATAAGTTTCACTGATAGTTTGTTGCTTCATTTCATTTATTGTGGCAGTCCTATTGCAAACCTGATTGATAGAATTCAGTCTGCACCAAAGAAAGGACTAGACACATCACACTAGTTACTAGTTTCCAATTAAAATTCTTAATAGTATGATAACACAAGCCCTTATCTATGCTAAGTCAGGTAAAGGTTGACAGTGTAGCGGTAAATAATTCCCCAAAATTATTGACCACAGCAATCACTCATTGGATGCTGACCACCACTGTTTAAGTCGACTTTTTTAGCTGAAGGCTCCCGGTCAAGCATCCCCGCCTTTTGGTACCCCGTCGTGTCACGTGCACGATCACTAGCTAGTTAAGCGTTCGTCTGACGGCTTGTTTTGGTCCCAGAATATATTACGAAGTTTGGACGATCAATTATTGGCTTTTGCTTTGTCTTTGGTACGCGAGAATAAATTAATTAGAAGTTGCTGAATGAGATATCCGTCAACCTTTAAAACAGCATTTGCTGGCCTGCAAAGTAGCTTTATATGTAAGCATGAATAATACAATCAGATATTGTAGAAAAGAATGTAGAACCCTATCAATTCTTACTTGTATACCGCGAATTTAAGCTTGAATGTCTTTATATTTTACAATAAATACTATATTATCAAATCAGTTATCTTGCCTAGTAAATGGATATTAGAGCATAAACTTCACACAATAACATGATCTAATACTTATCATGTAGTATGTATTTATTGAGAGCTTCTACTGAAGAAATGTTAGTGGACAGGATCAAAAACAAATTGATAAGTTGGATAGTTGCTAATCTAAATGAATTCAACTCAAGTTTATAAGATGCCAGTGTGCATTATGTATACCCTCTTCTCTCTCTCTCTCTCTCTCTCTCTCTCTCTCTCTCTCTCTTATATATATATATATATATATATATATATATATATATATATTCTCTTCTCAAATTTCAAGATATCTACTTCAAACAAATTAAGAAGAATTGGATTTACAGTTTAAAATAATGTGGCGACTTTATATTGTGAATGCACCAGTAATTTGCATCGATTGAAATACTTTGTCAATAAAAAGATTTTCTGTGACATCTTGAAATTACAATAAGATAAATATAAAGTGTATATCTTAGTGTCAGTCCTCAATTGAATAATCAGCTTTCTTGAAAAACAACAACAACAACCAATTATGTTCTTTTCTGATGGATATTTCCACGCACTGACTTCATTAGATATAATGTGAATTCCTTAGTGAAGTAAACAATCACGGGTGTATTGATGATTCATATGTCATCTGCGATGCTTTGGTGGTTTATGGGTAGAATGCTCGTCAGCTACGCACATGGCAAGTGGTTCGACTCCCGGCCGTCTCATTCCTTAACTTTGCCTGGTCGGTAGTAGGCTGAAGGACGAAGAATGGATAGGCGTGAGGTTAGCAATTTCACCTCGCCAAAACCCTGGTGCTAATGAAATTTCAAAGTTTGAAACCGTGTGTTCCATTCGGAACGTAAAAGGATGAAAAAAATGTCATCTGCAATTATATGAATAGTTAATCACATGTAGTTTGTCAGGCTTAATGATAACTACCTCAAGATTCAATCTGTGATGCAGTATGAATACATCAAAGGGTCTATTTTGTTGGATGCTATTATGACGAGCGAAAATCACAGTATGACCACGAATACTATCTATAGAAAATAGACAGAGAATGAACTGCGAGCCGAACAACAAGGGCTTTTATCTGCTGTCACAGGGATGCATCGTTTAATTAAAATCCTTTACAAAAGGTTACAGTTTCAAAGGGGTATTCATATTGATTATATATATATATATATATATTCACTTGCATAAGCAGTTATACTGAGAGAAGGGCTTTCATTCGGTTTTCTGATAAGTTTATTTACAAGTAGAAGCAAATTCGTAACCTGTATAATAACTAAGCATTTTATGGACAGGGAACATGATGTTTTCGAGCATGCCTGGATTAGTTCGTTTCCCCAAATCTTTTAACAAGAAGGCATTGTCAATAGGATCTCTGTATTCAGAAACAGGATGTGACCAGTCTCCCACTATCAAGATAACTGTATTCTGAATTCGCTTCACTTTATTTTTATAATTTAAGTCTTCATTTTAATCAGTGACTAATTGTAGAGCGACAAACTGATTTCAGTTTTCGGAATATTATTCTACATATTACTGAATCTCATGAGCAAGCTGTAAACATTTATGTCTTTGTATTTCTTCTCCCCTTTTTCCACAACCATAAAACTTGCTGTTAAGCAGTAAATAAATTTGAAGTGGTAATCTGTGATTTTGTGCACCCACAGTGATAATATTTCCTCAGATATTAATCTTGTATCCGTTGGAGTTTGTAGTATTTTAATGCACTTTTGTGAAGTTATTGTAATTTTTCAAACAATCTGCAACTGACGATATCCTGTAAAATAAAATGACTTCCATCACTTTGATTTGTATTCGGCTTTCCTCATTTCTTGTGTTCTACGTGGAAGATAGGGCTTCAAGCTTATTAGTTTGAATATCGGTGGTGTTGTTTTTACGGACTGGGGTTGCTAGTGTTATGACCAACCTTTCCACTTTCCTGGCCTTACTACCGACGAGGTAAGGTCTAAAGAGCATGTCGGCCAAGAGTGGAATCCGGACCAAGTGCGTGGTTAGTAAGCATTCCACAACCGCTGCCGTATTTATTTAGATTCATGGAATAAACTACAAATGTATAAAATACTTACTTGACTTTTACATTTTCAACAGATTCTACAAGTTCAGCTCTTTTATCCACAATATATATTAAATCAGCGATTAATTCTTCTTCTCGTGCTTTTTCTTCTTTGGTTTTAAGGATATCTAAAAAAGGAAAAAAAAAACGTTTTTCTCCCTTTAAAACAAATATTGTTTTGAAGGCCTTAGGAAGTGCTTGTTTGGAGTGAGGATAAAAGCTATCGTGGGTTATTTTCGCGCATAGTATGGCAAACCTCACAACAGATATTTTAGCTGTTTAAAAAATTTGAAAGAACACCCTCAAAACAGCCAAACGTACTATCTGATTTGATTACAGAATTTCTCCATGCCAGTAACACACCTGGAGAAATTCAAACTACAATTGACCACCACAGTTCTACCCATACAAGTACACTCAAACTAAAGTGTAGCAAATTAGATATGTGATAGAGTATATTTAACCTTAAGAATGCTAGTAAATAATGAATATATTTATATATTTAATTCAATTTTAGATTTTCCCGTCGACTGATTGGACTAAAGTGCTCGGTCTCAACTTGACACGTCGGTTTCTTGTGCAGATGCATCCACGATTTCTGGGCATGTAATTAGAAGTTAATTGGTGTATGGTGACTAGCAGTGAAACCCAGGATGCGCATTTCGTCTTATTCAGGACTCGTCATCTGGATGTACCGGCATTCCGCAGTGAGTGATGATGTTCCCACTGAAGCTCGAACCCACTGCCCACAGTTTCAAACCCCAACACGTTATCCACTAGACCACTTAGGCCACGAGAGCCATGTCTTGTGCAGCAGGTCACATAAATTATTTAATTCAGTTTTAGTTTTTAGAACGAAATGAGCATCCTGGATTCCACTGCTAGTCACCATCCACCAATTAACTTCTTATAATTTAGTTTACAAAAAAAGTCTTACTTTGAGACTAATTACCAGGTTGTTTCAGTATACTTCATGATAACTTCATCTAGATTCGACAGTGAAATAAATTCTTTTAAATTTGAATGATCCAGCAACATGCCAGATAACTTAAACTACAGTAAACTTGTGACATTTGAAAAGCAGTGATATTTACTCAAAATAAAACATATTTGATAATCAAAGTGCAGATGAGGTTTTACTAAAACACAAACAGTATGTTTATTCACATGACTGATAAATACTTGCCCAGAACCGTTTTTATTTGCAATTAGCATAAGAGTCACGCTTATTACGTGTGTGAGTGCAGATGATGCTACCCAGTCGTCCAGACTGCGACAAGTGTGGCGGGATTCGAATCCGGAACCCATAAACTGAAAGTCTAGTGTTTAAGCTGATGAGCCATAAAAAGGGCATACAAAATAAATATCTGGACAGGAATGCGGTGATTGTACAATGGACTGCAGTGTTTGCTATGACAGCGAATAAATTGTTGGGGAATAGTAAAGTTGTTCAGATTTCCTATGATAAGGAATAAATGCATTTGAACTACTGTGTATGACTCTAAACCAAATCACTAAACCATTCCTGAGCATCGCCCAACTTATAGCTACTATCTTGATTAAGTAGTATAGCTTGAGCATCTCGACATCCCAAAAACGTTCCTGAAGGTCGCATCATATAGTTGTCCTAGGGGTAATAAGACTGGAAGTAGTCACTGTCCTAGTGTAAGTTGCTTACACTGTGGCAGGAGTCTGAAAACGAATTTGTAGTACTGTCAAAACCTGGCACCATAGCAACAAGATGTTTTCCGTTAGGAACTTGAAGATAGGAAAGACCCTTCCAAAAATTTGGACATGCTTTCTAAGACTAAAGAGGTTTATTGATACCTGCAAGATCTTCCTCATGGAGGGAATTTCACGAATCCCATTATCATCAAAGACACTGTTCATGATCGGCGTCAAGCAAACTGTTCCTGAACTATGGAGTCATGCACATTTCTCCTCTACAACTTTGTAAAAATATCTTTCGTCATTCCTACCACCCTTTTTTACTCGTTTGTTCAGTGCCCTGCAGGCTGAACTAAGCTTCTTTTTTCATTGTTCACGTCGAAGGATATTTTCATGTCACTTTTTCAGAAGGTTTAGAGAAAAGGAAAGGTATCTGAGGATTGGGAGAAGGGCTGCCTTGTCTAACTACCAAAGTCTTTTTTAGAACCTGGACAGAATCATGCTCGTATTCACACCAAGCAAAATATTAAGTCGCATTATCCTGCAGAGAGTTAAAGACGCTCTGGAACAAGCTAGATTCAGGAAAGTGCAGATTAAATCGCAAAGCTACGCATCATTATCAAACAGAGCTTCGAGTGGTATTCAAATCTCCATTTCTACTTCACTGACACTGTAAAGACCTCCGATAGCGTTGATCTTGAAGTTAATTGGAAACGTCTTTAATAATACCTAGTCCAGTGACACAAACACTGACCAACCTTATTAAACAGCCATATGATGATACCAAATGTCAATAAGATTCACAACGTAAGGCTCAGAAAAACCTTTGATATAAAAACAGAAGCAAGACAAGGGTGCCTACTATTCCCGATTGTGGTGAACTGGATCACACAACAGACTGTGGAGAGAAAGAGAGGACGAGGGGACGCCGTACCGAAAAAAGACTCTAAAAGATGTAATTTTGGCGGATGATTTACGTCTCCTGTCGCAGAAACTCGAGCATACACATGCAAAAAATAACAATTTGACAAAAAAGGCAACGAAGGTATAACTTCATGTAGAGATGAAAAAGATGGCGGTGACGAAGACATTTAACCAACAACAGAAAGCAGCAATCACTTTCAACACACCCTGTTCACTGTCTCTATTATGCTTTTCTTCTACTTTCTTCTCTTGCTTTGTGTGCTACATGGAGTGTGGCGACTTGAACTGCCGCACATATGTGCAAAGTTCTATGTCGAAAACAGACAGACAGACAGACAGACAATCAATTCAACGGGAGAATTCGGCTCACCTTCATCTACCAAGGCAGCAAAAGTTTCAACTACAGATGAGAACGCCAAAGGCAGGATTGGAAAAGCAAGACAGGTCCTCTGAAATTAGTGTTGAAATCTACTGCACTCAGCATAAGAAACAAGATCTTAATTTTTAACTTTGATGTCAAGTCAGTACTTGCTTCTATATGGCTCAGGGAGCAAGTGTGGTAGTCACCTAAATCATTTCAAAAAGACTACTGTAGACCTTCACCAACAGTTGCCTTTGCTGGCTCAATACTCGAGATCAGATGGCTAGTCAGCGATGAAAAGCAACGAGGAACCCTAGCAACAAACCACCAGAGGACTTACTGTCCAAAAGAAGGAAATTGGAATGCCTTTAACATACATAAGTTAGCTCTGAGGGAAACCGTGCACCAGGACCTGGAGTGGAACCCGAACGGGAAGCTATACGTCGGACATCCAAAGCTAACATCGAGGAGATTGTCTGAAGCGATGGCAGCACATGGACAACTGTGGAGCCATCTAAAGACAACTGCACAGGATAGACTGAAGTGGCAATGTGCTGCTGAAGCCCTATGTTCCACTAAGAACCCAAGGGAATAATGTACATAATAAACACTTCTATTATCAGCTAACTAAACAGCTGGAAGTAATATGAATCCATCAACATAATAAAACTGTGACACAAATTATGTGAATATGAGTAAATTGTTTTCATTCTCTAATTCCTTTTACAATGACTTCGAAGAAAAATTCACGTGTAATTCTGATGTAAAAATGTTGTCATATAATAAAAGCAATAATAATACCGCTTAGAAAAAAACGTAGTATTTTCTTTTAAGAGAAACGACAAAGTATGTCAAAATTTTCGTATGCAAGATGATAGAACAATGTTATCGTTTGTAGAAATTTCACTTAACTTTAGTGTGTCACGGATCAACGCTACTTGAAGGATCACTGAAAACAACGAAGCACTAGACAGCTGGTTCGTTTTAGTTTTAAGGCTCCTCACCAGTTAGAATTAGCAACCTCGTCGGAGATCGAACCCAAGACTTTCAGGTTGTGAAATATGCCCCCTAACTAACAGCCTTCCCCGTAGGAACCTGAGGACCCTTGCCATCAACTGCTGAATAGTCCCATAACTTCTTCAAGCATACATAGTATTAAATAAGTACTTTCCATTTATCTCTCATCATTCAAGTGTTGGTTTGTAGGGAATTTGTTCGATCGTATCGAGGATTTCATCATGAGCTGACATCAGTTAGAGAACCTTTGGAAAACCTGGGAGTACTGGACAGATGTTTCGTCCTAGTCTGGAACTCATCATCAGTATACACCCACTGGGATTCGAACCCAGGACCTTCTGGTTACAAGGCTAGCGAGCTCGTATACCATTAAGCCACTGGGACCCAATACAGTGGCCTATGAATTCTAACTTCTGCCAATTGACGACACAGCGCGACCCCTAGCCAATGTCTTCGGCGAGTATTTGTCCTCACACCCAACCTGCTGCAGGTAGGTAGTTACAAGGAGTGCTAGTGAGAAGTCGTGACCAGTAGGGTGCAGCTGGTTGGGTGTGAGGACAAATACTCGCAGAAGACATTGGCTAGCGGTTGCGCTATGTCATGAATAGGCAGAAGTTAGAATTCATGGTCTGGCCATTGGATCGGGTCCAAGTGGCTTAATGGTCTACCAGGTCGCTAGACTTGTAACCAGAACATCCTGGGTTCAATCTCCGGTAGGTACGTACTGATGATGAGTCCCAAACTAGAAAAATGAGACAACTGTCCAGTACTCCCAGATTTTCCAATGAGTCTGTAACTGATGTCAGCTCATGATGAAATCCTCCAACTAATCAAACAAAATCCCTACAAAAACCAATACTTACGAAATATTCTTATTTGATATTGTGGTGAGAGCAGGCCGTGAGAAAATATAAGCAAGGCTGATTCAACAACCAATCACAGCAAAGTTAACGTGGCAAAATATGATTCACAGATAGAGAACTCTATTTGTCGAGGAATCCTGAAACAACCAATCAGATGACTGCACTTGTCTACTTGCATAAGCTATAATAATGTATGTGAAATATGTATAAATACGTGTTGATTTTCATAATAAAACGATCTGTTGCCAGCCTTTGTCTTCTGTTGTTACAATATGACTAACTTCAATTTCAAAATAGTTTTTTTTATTTTCAAAGTTTACTCTTCCACGTCAGCTTCATTTGTACTGAATTAAATATAAATGAGTTTTTAATTAATATTCTTCTTCCAAACTGTGATCAACTGGTGGAAAATTATCATACACTATAGTTATTTCACAAACTGATCAATATTTGGAATCTGTTCACTTCTATGTAGCAAAAATATTCGAAAATTAAGCCTTTTTGTACGAGACAACTGTGTGCACGTTCTGACATTAAAAAAAGAAACTTAATCTCACTCGTATGATGAATCATAATGTTAACTGGCAACCTGAAACCTAAATATGGATAGGATAAAAGTTAGGCATAGTGAGACATCAGTTATTCATAAATCAAGCAGTGCCCACACTGATTGATAAACAGGTAATAAATAATCTGATTGTCTAATCCTAATTACTGTCCAGAATTTATTGATCAGGTGTGCAATGTAATCAGGCATAGTGATGTGTGTCTTTCAGCATACTTTACTATTTCTCTTACTTTTTAGAAGACAACTTCCACTAGATGTAAATAATAAAGGTTTGGAGGTGAAATAACCTGTTTTCATCTGACCTAGCTAATTTTTAATATATAAGAAGAAAAGCTAAAAATGTAAGAAGTCGTATCTGTTATACTTCTTTTTTTTATACATTGAAGCTTAAGAAATGCAAAAGCAAGAAATATAAAGGTGAACAAAAACTTGTAGCAGTAACGTAATGGTTACTTGGAACTTTAAAAAAAACAACGAGAAAACAGTGGATACACTAACACAAGTGTTAGTCAGTGGTTCACCAACCACGCCACATGTGGTCTGGAGTTCATATTCGCACTCTTATACGTCACTTAGTCGGTAGGTAGGCCGGTAAAAATGCAAGGGTGGGCATGAGGCTTGCAACCCCAACCCGTAAAAAAATGAACAGTAGCGCTAATGGAACTTCAAAACTGAAGCTTGAAGCCCTATGTTCCACTTGGGACGCACGAGAATAAAATTTAAAAATCGTATTCGTTAAAATAGTGGGGAGACATTATTCATTGGCTTAAGCACTCAATTTTAAACCAAAGAATTCACGAGTGAGAATCGTACTTAGGTTAATTCAGGCGTGTATTACTGGGTAGTATCGTCAGCCTCCCTCTCCACATACACACATACACACACAAGAAGCGTGACTTCTCGCGGCAACTGCGTTACAACAATTCTGTTAAAATGAGTTTAATTCTGAATCGAAAACTTTTATCAACGAGAACAAAAACTGACGCATCCAGTCTACGTTTCTTTTACAATTCACATTTTAAGAAAAGGCTTTACACCTCTGTAGAATAATTCTTAACATACACCACATACCTATACAAAAAAATATCACTTAGAACACATGATAACAAACTCACTAACAACTGATTTATCTAAACCACACACCCGAAAATCCACGTTTCATCATGTCAACAGTATAACAAGAGAACAACTGCCAAACGTACAATAATTAATTAAATGAATGAAGTCGACCATTCCTGAGTAATTTCACTTTTAAATTATTACAGAGTAGATTACGTCAAAGATATATAATGATGCATACTTTTATACAGTCAAATAATAATAATGATGATAATTATGCAGTCCTAATGAGTAAACCACAGAGAGGCCTGTGTTAAAAAAGAAGTGCCTAACTACACAGTAGGATGTAAACTATGTCTGTATACAACTGACATGCTGCATTTTTAATCATACTTATATGAGATATAATTCATTTAATATTAAAAATGACTTATACTTTTTTTCCACAGGGAGGGCAGGGGAGGGAGGTATGCTTGGATGATTTACTCTTTATTTAAAAATAGTATAATTCACGGTTATAATCACTTTATAATGATTACAAAGTAACGCCGAATGATAAAACTGATAAAAAGACGAAATTTGTACACGGCAGAATTTAAAAAAAAAAGTTCATCAGTATTCATCGTGTCATTTAACGCTGACGATGACGGTAATAATAATAGTGAGAAGAAAAGCATAGGTGGCACAGTGGTTAGGACTCTCGCCGACCATGCACATGGTCCGGGGTTCGAGCCCACGCCGGCGCACACCTGATATCTATGGTCAGCCTACAAAATTTGGGCTACCGATATCCATGCTGAAAATTCCATACTTGTACCAAAAATACAGTGTGGAATCAAGCTGTAAATCAAAAAAAAATCAAAATAGGTGAATAAATTTTAATTGAATAGAACAAAAATTTCATTAGATTGTCGGAGGCAATCGGCGGGAGGCCTTGGACATAGGTTTCATGATAGTTGGTATTCACCAGTCAGCAAAGCCTACAAAAGGTCGATCGCCAGTCCGAGTAGCGCAGTGGAAACGTTCCTGAATGCAGCACCGAATGATGCGGGTTGAAATCTCGGAAGGGATATGAGTTTCTTCACGGTGGTTGAAGATACGCTTTGTTGAGTGATGAGAATCGACAAGCACGAAACATAGGTTCAAAACTTCCTGCCGACGGCTTTCAACCACCTAACATCAACAAGTCAAAGTGCACCGTGGTGGAGAGCCACCTAGAATGGTGACCACATTGAAAACTTGATTGACAATTCTGTCTACACCAAAGAACTAGACACATGACACAAGTTACCAACTAGTATCCAATCAAAACATACAAATTTTATATTTTGAGTTAGATTTTAGTTAAAATTTAGTTAAATATAACTTAAGAACTAGACAAAAAGTTAATTTAAATTGTTTCGTCTTCTCCTAATCTTTGATCATAACTTCAGAAAAAACACTAACTCCCTTAAAAAGTCATTAGGGCGTTTGATAAAACATCTACGAATAAATGTCAAAGCTTTGAAGAATACCAAATAATTTTCATCTTTATCCTGAGTGACAAAATCTTTTTTTCCTATTATTTCATAGTTAAGTAAATCTACGTACGCAATAGATGCTTCAGTAGTTCAATAAGTGGAATGCCGGTCAACCAGGTAAACAGACTGAATTTGATTCCCTCAATTAAGGAATCACCATCGGTACCAGGACTAGCCACTTCTAATTGCATCAACCAGTTCAACTGCGCTTGTGGAGCAAGCTAAATTGATAAAAAGTCGCTGTAGGAACCTGATTTTTCGTGCACGGGAACATCTACCAGTGTAGCTGAGTAAAGGTGTTGTAGGATGCTCGCCGACTATGCACACAGTCCGAGGTTCCATCCCCGGCCGACACACCCTTTACCTCGCTAAGCCAAAAATAATGCTGGTAAAGAGGAAAGGTTGGGAGTGGGGCTAGCAACCCCACCTGTAAAAATAAACACAGCTACAGAAACTTCAAGCCTCTAACTTGAAGCCCTATGTTCCACTGGGAACGTGAAGGAAAAAAAAACCATCAACATTTTGATGTTAGACCACCTGGTCCGAAGTGACCGGCCATAAAGCACTGAAGAATGCTTTTGTATCATCTATCGACCATCAAATAAATTGCCAAAAGCACCCAGGTACCGCATACTCCAAACAGCAGAGGCTATCGTGATCCATTTAAAACAACCGGTGCTCTGTGTGCAGAAAAAACAGGTCCATTACTACTGCCCTGGCCCTCAGTGGAGACTATAAATTCATGAATTTATATTATTATCTTTCCTAATTTCTCTGGTATTCAGTGTATTGTTACTTTAATTGGTGGATGGTGACTAGCAGTGGAATCCAGGATGCGCATTTCGTCCTATTTGGGACTCGTCAGCTGGATGTACCTGCATTTCTCAGTGAGTGATGACGTTCCCACCGAGGCTCGAACCCAGTACCCATAGTTTCAAACGCCAGTCAATCGACGGGAAAATCAAAAATTCAATTCAATAGTAATATGACCCGTTGCACAAGAGGTGGCTCTCGTGGCCCAAGTGGTCTAGTGGATAACGCTTTGGCGTTTGAAACTATGGGTACTGGGTTCGAGCCTCGGTGGGAACGTCATCACTCACTGAGAAATGCAGGTACATCCAGCCGACGAGTCCTAAATAGGACAAATGCGCATCCTGGATTCCACTGCTAGCCACCATCCACCAATTGTATACTAACTAAATGCCCAGACATCGTCGAAGCATCTGCACTAGAAGCCGACATGTCAACCTGAGACCGAGCACTTCGGTCCAATCAATCGACGGGAAAATCGAAAATTCACTTCAATAGTATTGTTACTTTGATACTATCGGACTGTAATCCATTGATACTACTACAGATTCGATGTTATTTAAACAGCATTATTGTCGTTCATAACATTAATTCATTCATTCACTGTAATGTATTTATAACTGTAGAAGCTGATGATGAAGTTATCGAAAGGATTATTCTTTGTTCAATAAGCATACTTCTGAAAAAATGCTAATGTACATTTTTAATCAGTTTTAAAAAAGGAGAAAATTGAAAATGCATACCTTGTTTAGCCAATAGCATTCGTAGCTCATACTCCAACTCCGCATGCCGATCTTCTAATTCTTGACAACGAAGCCTGTTAGTGTAATCAAAATTCGAAGTAAACAAAGAAGAAAAGGGGCAAACAACATGTTACCGAAACTATCAAACATGAATTTTCATTCTGTAACGTAACTCAACTCTCTATTCTGCCTTTAACACAAAGATCAGGGAATAAACAATAAGTCAAAAAATTTCTATCGTTATTGATATTTCTAAGAAGAGAAACAAACACATCAACAATAATAATAGTAGTAATAAAAGCAACAAATGAACTAATACAAACACCGTGTACCTATCACGCGTGATGTAATACATGTCCAAAAGACAGTGAACAGGTGAATATGCCAATTTTAGGATTCATCCCTCCTTTGTTTTTGTTTTGCTTCAAGAGAGGGCAAATTAACAAACAGTAGATGAGTGGTAATCGAATATGAAATGTGCACCATAAAATTATATATACATATATATGTTAGAAAAGAAATTATTCCATTAAGTAATATGATTTTACACATTAGAAGAAAAGAAGAATGTTACTAAAACCTGTGAAGTCTAACAATACATAATTCCTGGAACGGGTGAACCGGCTCTTGCATAACCGAAAGATAGACACTCGACTTTATCTTTGCCCTAATTTAGTTCACTAAATACCATTTATCAAACATTGCATCTATTCCTGTCATATAAAACTGTTTGTTCAAGTCGGTTAATGATAATACTTAAACAATACAAGTCATATGCTATTAAAAGTCAATCTGAACGAAGAATATTCTTCTCAATAATTTCTCTCCAGGCTCTTACAATTATAAAATATAATATTTGTTGTCGTTACATTAAGGGCCAGTTATGCGGCGGATACATTTTTAACGTAGAAAAACAGATTAGTTATGGGATGTCAAAATAAATAGTCGTATTATTTGTGTGACAAACGTGCTAGGCTGAAATCGATTGCCAAAATATTGTAAAACGGGAGACAATGAGGATGATGATTAATCATAATAGAATTGTAGAGTGTGGGGTAGGAAAATCAACAAATCAGTTCAAGGTTATCGAAGGTGTCAGGTGAGTGGCTCACCAAGAGTGCTCCTTCCCCTTAACCCTCTTGGTTTTTTCTCCTTTGCATATTATTACAAATAATATTATTGTTATTATTATTATTCATAATATATGCCCTTCATGCAAACATTCCCTCAATACTATTGAATTTTTCATTTATACTATCCGGACTTATTATTAGTGATATTATCTCTTTTCTCAATATATGCCTCTACCTGTTTCATTTAACATATTCGTTATCCCATTATGAACCTCTCATTCTAGTCTTACTACCTCCTGTTTAACTCCCACCACTTTGTACTAGCCACTCACCTGACACCTTTTGTAACCTTGAACTGATTTGTCAATCTTTCCTACCCCACACTCTACAATTCTATTATGATTAATCATCATCCTCATTGTCTCCCGTTTTACAATATTTTGGCAATCGATTTCAGCCTAGCACGTTTGTCACACAAATAATACGACTATTTATTTTGACATCCCATAACTAATCTGTTTTCTACGTTAAAAATGTATCCGCCACATAACTGGCCCTTATTGTAACGACAACAAATATTATATTTTATAATTGTAAGAGCCTGGAGAGAAATTATTGAGAAGAATGTTCTTTGTTCAGATTGAATTTTAGTTCATAATATGGGAATATTTCACACTATCATATGCTATTATTGCTTATTATGTAAGTATATGTTTGAATCTTTGGAATACACAGATACTACAACGCAGTAGGTGAATCTGACCATTGAGTGAAATGGCAGGAAAACTTCACTTGAATGGATATAATGCATAGGTAGTATTTGCAGATTTCAAGTACACTATTTAAACATAGACAGAGGAATAAATAAATACATGTGGAAATTTTGATAAAAGGAGCTTTCTTAGACAACATAAAAAGGAACTGAATGAAAATAGAATAATCTGAATGTAAGGAGAATAATTTTCCATAGTGATTATGATATTGGCGAAAGTGTATTTTTGCTCAACTTCTTATCACCTCTTTAATTTCTTGGTGAGTATTTTTCATATTTAGAGAAGAATTCAACAGAGTCTGTTGAAAATACTACATATTTTGGAAATAACAAGAAGTGTATATATACCCGCACAGTCATGATGAATTTAAGCACATGTATAAATAAATGTTCCTCTTCTATCAGCTCATTGCTGAGCACTTTCATTTATTCCGAATCGATAAGCTCACTTTTGTCTTTTATGTTTATAGTGATTGTCAAGTGGATAGAAAATGCGCTTTTATGATCATTAGTTGTATTTCTCTGAACTTTTCGAAAGGAATTAGAAAAATGATCTATTATACACTAGCTAAATCTACGGTAATTTAAGAGGATAGACCTACTCTGTACGAATTTCATTCTACCTGTGCCAGTCTCTTGTTTGATGTAGATTTAATAAATAATTCTTTTATTAAGACTTTTTACACCTTTCTTATTCTTAATTCCTTTCACAAATTTATCATTTTTATTTAGACTTTGATTATCCATCAACTTCATTTTCAGTATTACATAACTTCTCATTCTACAAGAATCTAACCTCATTTAAACTTAATTATGAAAATGTTTACATTTAAAATGCTTTCCTCATTATGCTTATCGCCATCTGCGTTATCTATTTATACTAGTGTCATCATTGTTAGTTTATTATTACTGGTATAATCTACATCACATTTGTCATTGACCCCAAAATCACCGCCATTGGTTAAAATTATATACATATATATATAACCATTTTAGAATTCAATATATTTGGTTTCCATCACATTCATTTATCTGCAAACTAAACCAACAAATAATTCAACTTTCTGTCTATCTTAATATCCCTGATAGCATATACATGTATGTTGAGTGTGAACAACCACTACCGTACGAGAAGGAAACTGAAGTTCGCGTCAACAAAAGCTTGGTATAATTTTACTGGATTTTGTTTTAGGCATAGTTCATTACCCATTAAGATATCACAGTTGTTACACAACTTGTAACAGTTACCTTTTCTTTCTTTACAATGCAACACTAGGAAGGTTTGTAGTCAACTTCAGCTGGATCTTTATAACTGCTGACATTGTCTTTTTCTTCTCGCATTTTCAGGAATTTTCGGAAAAATTCCTTAGGATTGCTATGGAGATATATAGACTATTTAACGTTTTTAGCTTCTTCATTTAAGTCATTCGATACACTAGTTAAACTTCGAACTTGATATCTCAAGCAATATATTAAATCTGTTTTAGATGACTTAGAGGAGGCAGATAAACTCAAGTGTGCACATCTATTGAGAGGAATCGATTTTCTGATTCCCATATTAGTTTTCCTATTGGAATTGTATTTGTTACTGAGTTTACGCGTTCAAAACAAACTAAACATGCTCCAATTTAACATCGTAAATATGTCATACATATACCGAAGTTAAAATTGAAATGACATCTAAATCTACGTTTTTATTCCAAAGTAAATCTAATTGCCTTAAGAATCTTATCAATTTATCAAATGCAATGTAATAAAAGTGAAGTCGAGTACAGAAATCAAACTAACAGACGGGCTTCAATTTGGCTACTGGATCGTATGAATGCAACTGGATTTATACTGAAAGACAACATTAACATAGGTGATTTGAGAAAAATTTATCTATCGTTATGCAAGTGATGACAATTACACGATAAGATTGAACAGATCTAGGAGGAGGTATGCGCCCTTAGTCTTTATTTCTCAAACTAACACCGTTTGTATGTGGCATCAATGACATGAGACCAGTTCTGAAGGTACAAGAGTTCTATTACCGATGAAACCCAAGAATAAGAAATAAGTGAAATATAACGTCTATGTTGGAAATTGTATGACCATTTTGATATGATTATAACCTATAAACTGTTGCCTGAAACACCATCTAGGAGATGACATTTTATTGCAGTTTCTTCTGTTAGATAACATATCCAAAATGAAACCACTATTCTGTATACACAAAGAAGAACAACAAAGAATGATTTTAAAAAAGTACCTTTGAAGTAACTCTGATTCCTTTTTAAAAAGATTATCCTTCATTTGCACCGTATGCAACCATTGATTCAGCAATTCTTTAACGTTTCGATCCTTTCCAGACACTAATATATGCCAAAGAAAATATTACAGTTAGTTAATGCCTTTAAATTGTCAGACTTTTTTAAAACTAGATACAAAAGGAAATATGTTCCGAAATCTTACATTACAAAGTTACCGATAAACAGGACTTTAAATAATCTACATATACTAAAGAGAACTACAATCAATTGCCAATAAATTTCGAGCAAAACGTGTAATTACAAGTCAATAATGACGGCAAAAGTACATCATAACTGTGGCAGTCATATCAACTCAAATTGAATTTTAGAGATGTTATCGAAGCCAAACAACACTATTCTTTTCGTTCACATAAATAAAAAACACTCTTTCCATGGCATCTAATACGATGTACTTTAAGCCAGAAGCAGTAAGTTTTTTCAATGAGTCACAATAGCTAGAAGAGCTTCTAACACTTGACCGGGTTTCACATAACTTAAAAAATAGTAATATCAAGCTTTCATAAAAATATATATGGATATCATTTAGTCAGGTGAATAAAATGACTAAACTCAAGGAATGATTCGGCATATTCGTGCCTACTAATTGATATTAACTAACAGTAAAAGAAATTTATCTGCATATATTCAATCATTCAATTACTTAGGAGACTGACATAAAAATTATAAAACTAATGTGTATTTTCACATATACGTAAAACCGTTAGCCACCTAATAACAACCTGCAACGGAAACGATAACAAAATTAGCTCTGTAACCCTAACAAAGAGAGTGTGCACTGGAAGGTTAAATAGTTTTAAGATAATAGATATTTTGGCTCAGGTATATGACTTTGAAATGGCTGTGTTTACTGAGGTGGATGGTTTAAATGTTAAGATTTCACTGTCCTCCTAGTCAACTAATCAGAACAAAGTTGTCAGAAAATGCATTCACACCATTAACAAAGAATTTAAATAAGTTAATTTTATCCTAAGGTTTTCGCTGAAGACGTCTAGAAAGACAATAGAATCTTTGCCGTTGAACCACTTACGTAAAAAACACAACCACATAAAAAGGTTAAATAATATGATATTAATAATGTTTCAGATGCAATATAAGCTCTCAAGGTGCAATTATAACCCTAAATGACTTCAGTTGATAGTTACATCACAGACTGAAACCTTATTTGGAATAGACGACTCAAGCCTAACGTATAAATTAAAGTTGTGGAGACCTAACCACTGCTTAAGTTACAAAAGCCTAAATTCAATAACTTCCATGAAAAAATCACCCCTCTTATGGAATAAGCTATACTTAGACACTTCAAAACGCACGAAATACAATCAGCGTAAAGATTTTGAAAATTCTGCAGCTATTTTACCCCTTGATACTTATAACAAACGACAATATATGTAGACAACCGAAATTATATTCTAATCATTTAAAATATTTCGACCAAAGAGAAATATCACTCACTCTCTTTAATTCTTGTCTGTATACTTCGAGCCTGTAATTCTAATTTGGAAAGCTCGTTGTTTATTTCATACAATTTTCTGTGCAATTCAGAATACGGAACGAAATCACTCCGCCGATCACTTCTGACTTCACGCCAGCATAAGACAGGAATAGGTGGGGCTGGTCTTTTGGTAGTGGTTGACCTGGTAGTTTTCTTATGCATTCCATCAGCATGATCAGCCACTGAATAAGAGGACTGCGGTTTGTACAAACAGCCATAGTCTAGTAAGCTAGACAGATCACATATTGATGAGTGAGTATTTAGCAAGTTTTGTGACTTATCTGACACTGTGCACTCAACACTGTAGTCAGGATTACTTTTTTCCGATAAATGCGTATGAACGTTACTATCAGCCTCTGTTGTGGAAAATGGGGAGTCATGTGAATCCACTGCGTTTGAGGAACTGAGAGTCACATTATCAGTAATTTTCGTATCTAAGGGAGGTAGTTCGTCATCGTCGAATGGATTATAGGGCTTTTGAATGCAGTTTAATTTATCATTAGAGTCACAAGGTGAGTCATCTGCAAATGGATTCAATGAATCGGGATACGATGCAGGTCCTTGGGAAGGATTCAATCGGTCATTCGTTTCAAAAGGTTTCCGATCAGTTTCAATATTAGCCTTCTTTTTTGTAAAACCATTTTTTTGTACTCATAGTTATTTAAAATGTCTGGTAATGGTGGTCTGGAAGGAGCTCTTTGAGTCCGTTGATCTTTTTCAATACTGTCACAATCAGACAGTTGTTCTGGACGAATGAGGATAACAGATGAGCCCACCTTTGTTGAGGTCGTTAAAGAGTCAGAAGAAAGCTCTGCACTGGAAGAGTCGATAGCCTTTAAGTTCTCATATTCAATCGAGACTTTAAGGGTCCGGTTTCGCTCTTCAAGGTATTCAGTTGATTTTCCCGATAGCAACTACGATGGTACTTCTTATTGAAAACAGTCAATTCTTCCAAACGAAAAATGCTTTGCCCACACAAACAGCACAGAGGAAGAGCCACTTCTTCATCATACTAAAAAATTTAACATTATATGACGCTAGATGAAATATTACATACCAATAGTGATAGCTGCTTATCAACAGATGTATTCGACCACATTTGTTCTACGAATCTTAGACGTTAAGGTAAATAAAAATTACCCTGACATTTACAAGTTACTGCTTTGTACAGCTTTGAGATGTAATCTACAACCAGCTCTTTATCTACACTACCCTCAGATACCAAAGACTGTGGATTTATAAGCACTGGGACATCTAATTTAGTTTCCGCAACAAAAAATGCCTACGCAAATTTATACAATATAGAGACAAACTGACTAGTTCGAGATTTTTGACGGCATTTTCAGCTTTCAGTGTAGAAATTTCTCTATTGAAAATAACAAACAAAAATTAAAAATTACTCAATTTACATGAGGTCAGGAAAATATTTATGGAGTAAAGCACAAAATGCTATTCCATCTTTCCATGATGTTGTGAAATTTGTGATGTTAACGAAAGAGTAATTTTTTGTTTGTTCAATACACCAAAATAGAAGTGGGTTAGAAACGCTATCTTTCATTTATTTTACGCTCTCTGATATTACCGACGAGAAAACCCCGTGTAGCGCAATTTTTAAAATCGGTCAATCTGAAAGTTCAATTACTATTGCCACACTTAAAGCATTGACTATCCATAAAATGTCCAATTCCTAGGGTTGCGAAATAAAAGGAGTAAAACTGTTTTAAGCACTATATCTCAAAGAAACCAGAAGTTTATGCAGTATCAAGTTGCACTAAATCTTGAATGAAACAATATTATTCTTTCCAGCTTGTGTATACACGTCGATATTTTAGTGCTCAGTTAAATGCACTGACTTTATGTCCTCCGTACCTTCCTTAGCTGCCGTAGACCTCTTGGACTCGGAAAGCGGAGGCGTTGGGAGGTATTTGACTCCTGCCATCATAGTGCCTCTACTACGAATACTAAATGACTTTTCACTACATGATTCTCCAAATTCGTCAAAAACACTCCAGAAAATGAGACAGAATTGAAACTGAGGAACTAAGCAGATAGGAATTTGAAGGACAACCTGGGTGACTGAAAGCAGAAAAGAAGGGGAAACTATGAAAAGAGGGAGTAAAAGGAAAATCTAGTAATACGTAATAAGTAAAGTCAATATAAAAACTGAGAAAGTATCTAGCAGATATTTCTGCTGCCAGATTGTCCCATCTAATAAAAATACATTGACTGCGTATTTTGGAATGCTCATCTTTTCTCCTGAGGCTAACATCCGCGTAGGGGTAGCTTAAACATTCGGTAGTTAATTTTATGTTTAACAAGCTCTAAAAAGAAACATACTGTATATGTCCCGCACAATTCCCCTCTAGATAACCCCAGTAGTACCCCCTATAGTTCCTGAGTTTTGAACCATTTTGGAGGTCCCATAGTATGCCGTAAATAGGTGTGTACGTTTGGCTTTTAAAGTTGTTTCATACGAAGTCATAAAGCTTCTCCAGAGGCATACTTAGATTTAACTGCAGAAGGGTATTGTCTAAGATGTCACTCTCTGCGATGGCTTAAATTGGTAAATTTATGTCTTTCACTACCGCATATGTCGGGCATTTAAAAAAAGTTACTAAAGGTCTTCTCGACTGATTCACTAAGTATCTTTTATATATATATATACCAGCGGATCCATGAATCAACACAGGTTAATGCAACTGAATTACAGTTTCCTGGCTAGATTCGGCTGAAGCGATCTCCTGCATCGTCGAACTTTCGTATTCTGAAGATTCGTCAAAAACAAGCATTTGTTACAATATGCTTCACCAATCCCTGAAGTCACTCCACTAACGACGAGTGCTACCCCCGATACCGAATGCTGACGATCTGTATCAATTTTCGTCGTCCTTCAATCGGAACATCTATCCCTTGCTAGCTGCCTATTATAGGATGAATTTCAACACTATCTAGGAACACGAAGCTGCTCGTAAGGTGACCAAGAGTAGTTAGTTTTCCGTACAACTCCTGAAGACTGCCTTCTTCAATAATTTGTTGAAAGCATCCTTTTGGTATTGTAGTGTTTTACACAACTCTAAAGGGGAGGGTAAAGTCGCTAGCAGACAAGATGACATCATATCACATGGCCCAAAACATTAGGTTTTCCAATCATTCCTTACATCTGTCTTGGCTAGGGGACAATAGATTTAGCATTATTACAGTCACAGAAAACCGGCATGGTTCCAGAATTTCCGACCGCCTCGCCCGGTCCCCTGATTCTAACTGAATACTGCTGACGCCGCTGCTCCTTCAACCTTCATTTTTCCGTACCGTCTCTACGTATCAATCATCTTTCCTGGTTTCACATGAAATCTACATGCAAGTGTCTGGAAACCTGCAATCATCAAGCCAGTCAGCTCTGTTTACGCTGAAAGCCACTGCAATCGTTGTTTGTTATACAGATGCTCCCTTTACATGAACACTGTGTAGGCATGTTTGCATCCGGTGGTCAGTGAGAAGCTGATTTTGAGGACACCTATTTCTATGTTTTCATTCGGATGTCATGTGCATGTACAAGAATAACTATCTATAATAAGATTAGTGCTTGTTCGTCTAAGTTTATTCACTCCGTAATGACTTTATGATGCAAATTCCCCGTAAAATAGCACTGTAAAGTTGACCTATAATATAATACATAATAATATATATTTATTGCTATCTATGTTGCCTGTTGGCGTCGGTGGCACAGTGGTTAGGACTCACGCCGACCATGCACATGGTCCGAGGTTCAATTCCCCCGCCGACGCACACTTGATATCTATGGTTGGCCTGCAAAACTTGGGTTACCGATATCACATGCTGAAAACTCCATACTTGTACCAAAAATACTGTGTGGAATCAAGCTGTAATCATAAAACACAAAAATTCATACGATCGGATGTTCTCATTGTAAACAAGCACTATGATCAGGATTAATGAAGCGTTCGTCTATCTGTTACTCTCTCTGTATATCAGGCCGCCTGCTACCAAATCTCCTCCCCAATCAGCTAGCAGCTTCATGTTGTGACTTTGTTTACTGTGACTTCTGACTCCTTCCGGGATTTTAGTAGGCCGACTGGTCTACAGGAATCTGAGAGTCCTAGTGGTTTTATTGTGTATCCCCGCCAATTACAGTGTCAGTGTCCATTGCTTTGGTGGTTTGTAGGCGTTAATTATATATTTTTATATGCTTTTTAGTGAAATTTTGCATTTAAGAACTCTTCTGACGCACATAATCTCGATGGCATAATCTACTTGAACTGCGTGGCATTCGCTGCCACTGTATCAGGAAATGTCTCTTGATACCGATATCTGCGCAATGTGATCGATTAAATAAGGCAGTAATTTCAAAATCTAAGGGTAAATTTTTAGATTTCCATGAAACCATGGTAGTATTTTTGGCCTATTTACTGAAATGGTCATGTTTTAATTGGTTTAGTAGTTTCTGCTATTCATAGCAAAATTTTCAGCATTATTTTCAGTTTTCATTTACTCATCACAGTCTGCTTTCCATTTTAAGAAACAAAGCACTAACACTATGAGCACAATTTCGGGAGAGACTTAATTGCTATAATACTCCGGTTTCATTAACATAACTTAGGCTAACATGTAGAAGAAGATTATCATCTAAGTTTTAATAAAGACAAGTTGTTCAGAAGGTAAGAAAGACTTTATTTCCCGGTTAAAAATCTCGGGAGAATATAGCGCTTGTTGCAAGTGTCCTTAAAACTTTACATTACCCGTATGGGAACATTATTTTTTGCTGGTATCAATGGGACCATTGACTTTTAGCAATCAAAAATAACCACACAATAGTACAAGAGCACGAATTCCGTGCCAACCATATGCTTAGGTTCCTGCAACAAAAATAGGTGGTGCTTCAAAACTGATCGGAAAATTTAAGACCGAGTACAGGCTGCCACCCAACTGCAAAGAAAGCCAGTAACCGAAATGTTAGCGCAGTGTACTAGGTATAACAAACAATCATTGCATAAAACGCATATTTAAACGTCCTGCTGCACAAATAATGCATCAAAACTCATGAACAACACTGGACAACAATTCTTATATGAATTCGCCCAGCAAGAATCAAACAATTAGCAAAACCATGTCAACTGCATCTGCCAAACAACACGAACTAGCCCCAACCCAAACCAGTTAAACTGCGCAAATACCAGTGACACAAAGCATCTCTTCAAAAAAGGATATACGGTATAACCGCCCTGAGAGTTCAACTGCTGTGGAATGAATGATCGCTGACAGTTCAACAGTCCTCATTTTCCCGCAATGTAGTTCCACAGCGTTCAGTTGGTTTATCACAGACCTGTGAACAGAATGAATTTCCTTTCAGCTAGCGCACTAACATTCCTTTTGCACCTGAGGGACATATAATGGTACTAAGGATGGAGGTTACCAAGTAAAATTTTTATGCTTCTGCTCCTTTTGAAAGTTGCATTCGAAAACTGCATCCCTTTTTGAGACTACTTTCCCGCACATTTTTCGAGAAGTTAATTCTTGTTCGCTCTCTTTCTCCGTTGTTTACCGTTTTTACTTGATAATACAGGTATAATGCAGTCGAGCACCCAACTAGAGTATGGCACCGCCCTTCTTTTCTAGGAGTGATCTCCATGTAATCCTCGAACCGACGACCCACTCGTCGTTTCCCACTTGGATTCCACTTGAGGGCGTGGCCTAGCGTGCAATGTCATTCGGCGGCCTCCTCAATGCATGCCCGATTCATCTCCACTTTCTCCTGAATATTTGTTGAGCGAACGGCTCTCGCCTGTTGGTTTGTTCTCAGCCAGAGTTTCTTGTTACTAATTCTTCCTGGCCAAGTTTCTAACCCATAAAAATGACCTTATTTACCCATTTATAGTAAGGTAACAAATTAAATAAAATTGTATTTTGTGAACTTGCAACAAAGAATAACAGTAACAAGAGGATCTTTACAATAGAAAATGAATAGTACAGGCGAGAGTATGTATGCTGAGATCATGTGTATGATAAGCGCATACAGACGAAATGAGCGAACGCACACAGTGATTATGATAAACACATAAATTGATGAATGCGAAAAGGAAGATAAAACAACACTAGCTTTCGAAAGGATGAAAATAGTACTGAAGATAAACAAATAAAGGTTAGTGAATTAATAATAGTAAATGTGATAATTCATATTTACGAAAAGAATAAGTGTGTATTACTAACTAGTTGTCAAAGTATGTTTATTTATTAATTTATTCACTTAATAATAAAGGGTAAACAAAGAGAGAGAGAGGTGGGGGTTGAGAAAACACCACTCCCGTATTTACCCATCCACTTTCAATCCTCTCGTAGAGAAAAAAAACAAATAAAATCTATTGAGGTTACTACTGTCTTCTAGACGTAATAAGTCTCCTTAAGATATGTAAACACCTATATATCCAGTATCACTATTATCAATTCTAGGAAGATTTATATGAGTGAGATGCATTTCTTGAACATCGTTCGACCTGGTGAATAGAAAATTCCGACGGATTGGAAGGATTGCTGCAATCGACA